CTCCATCTCTCACTGACTGTATCTCACGTGGGTGTGGAAGTAGGTGTGTGCACACAGGTTTGTGCTCACCTCTATGATCAAAGTATCCAGAGGGAAAAATGCAAGCTCTGATGTTTACTTACTCCACTCCCCTTGCTCTGCTAGGCAACCCCACAGGACCTTTCAGTTAAACACCTCTTAAGCCTTGTGACAGGATCTGTGGTGGCATGGGGAATGGATCAAGGAGAAACTTGGAGAAGAAAGCTCAAGACCTGCCTGGGAGAGATGTGAACCATCAGGAGATGCCACTGTGGCCAGAATGTAGACTGGCAATCCCAGAACTGAGGTCGCATGTGGCTTGACCAGGGGAACGTGGGGACAACCTTTCCACTTCCCTCAGATGTTTATTGCCCACCATGATGTTCCAGGTACCTGAATCACAGAATCACAGAATCACAGAACGTTAGGGATTGGAAGGGACCTCAAAAGATCATCCAGGACAATCCCCCTGCCGGAGCAGGAACACCCAGATGAGGTTACACAGGAAGGTGTCCAGGCGGGTTTTGAATGTCTGCAGAGAAGGAGACTCCACAACCTCTCTGGGCAGCCTGTTCCAGTGCTCTGTCACCCTCACTGAGAAGAAGTTTCTTCTCAAATTTAAGTGGAACCTCCTGTGTTCCAGCTTGTGCCCATTACCCCTTGTCCTATCATTGTTTGTCACCGAGAAGAGCCTGGCTCCATCCTCGTGACACTCACCCTTTAAATATTTATAAACATGAATGAGGTCTCATAAACATGAATGAGGTCTCTATAAACATGAATGAGGTCTCAATGTGCAGTCCTGTCCACCATTCAAACAATGCTATGGGAAGGCATATGAATGGTTGTATGCACACATAGCAGGGACGTTGAGCACTGCTTTTGTCTTGTATGGTAACTAACAAGGTGCAGGATCCCAGGGTCTCTAGGTCACAAGCAAGTTCCTCTTCAGGTGTGATTGCTCTTCACAACTTTCCTTGAGGTAAGTGCCCTCCATAGTTTGCCAAGCCAGAGCCTCTAAAGCTTGGGAGGTACAGTTGCCACCTCTATTCTGCTCTGCCATGGCACCCTTCAGCACATATCATCATTACACAGCAATGACTGAGATTGAACATTGGCCAGACTTGCAACACACTCACCTGCAGTTGCTGCTTGGTGCAGAAATGCATGACTAAACAGTATACAGGTAACAAACTCACACTTGATTCAGAAATAAGTATATTTTAGGTGTTATGCAGATAACATACACACATGTTTTCTTATCTGGTAGTACTACAGCAATAAAATAACGGTAACAAGGAAGCTATCATACAGCAAAGATCTGCCATCAGCTCCAAGAATGCTGGGTGCCCAACACACAACCTTACTCCTGGTTATAATTCCTGTTATAAGAGGGATGCTCCAAGACTTTCTGTGGTCGTGGGAGTCTTCATGCTTCTCACAGTCTGTTGTTCAGGAAGGACCAAAGCACACTTGCTGCTATCCCTGCTGCCATCCCATAGCTGCACCTCACACTACCTGCTGCGTTGACATTGCAGAGGTCGCTGCTGCAGCAGGAGATGTTCCTGCTGCCTACACTGAAATCCTGATATTGCGATTGACACGACGAGTCACAGCCCTTGCTGATGAGGTTGAAGAACCCCGCAACCCCTGGAAGGAAAGCAGGACCATTACTACAAGGACTCAATGAAAGCCAAGCCTCATGGAAATGAATGATGAGATGTTATTCTTATCTGAGCTCACTTATTGGAAAAAAAAAAGGGAGTGTTTCCAAACATCTGCATGTTTGACTGTAGCAGGCTATAGTTTTGTGATGTCAGTTTGTCAGCAGGAGGGAAAGGTTTTCAATCCCCAAGTGTTTGCTTAAGGCTGCATATTCCACAAAACAATTCTCAGGGGTTTTTTAAATAGCACCAACTACAGAAATTCTAAAAAATTAATTAGTAAGGAAAGCAGCCATTAACACCTCTGTTGGGTGGTCAAAGCTATAATGGATGAAGAGCAAACGTGTGGGGTAATCTTTGCTTGCAACCAATGCATCTTTGCTGCATGGAGCCTTTCAGCAGCCAGGGAATTTATGGAAACATGGCTATCCCCATGTCACAGATGACAGAGTTATTGTCTGATTTGTTTCTGAGAGGTACAAGCTGTTTTTCTGTGGCTGGTTGATACTCGGTAACTGCTGGTTACCAGCAGGTTACAGTCTACGTGAGATCACCTGATCTTGCACAATTTATTTTGGGGACCAAGTCTTTGACATATGCAAATTTAGTGTATAGGTCCAGTGGTTTACACAATGTGTTGGTACTCCTGCATATGAATGCATGGCCATGGGTTTGCACATCGCCAATAAGGACAATGCCTACTGGATTGCCTACATTTCCTGCCTGACCGAGATGAGTTTGGCCATGCCAGTGATGGGTTTTGTGCCCTAGGTCTAAAAGCAACTGAGCTGTTACCACAGATTTGGACAGGGCAAGCATTTTTTTTGCCAGATCTAGAATGGGAGAATTAAATCATGATCTGGTAAAGGACTTTAGCCAGAGACACACAGATGTCCGCATTCAGAGCTGGCTATAGATGGTTCTAGGTGAAATTCTATACTTTTCACTGAATTCACCTAAAGTTAGCTCTATCACTGAATGTTCCCCCTAATTTCATGCCTAGGTTTCACCAGACTCAGAACCTCACATTTTAATTCATGTTCCAAATTTTTCAAAGTCATAAACTTAACAGTTGCCTCCATAAACAAATGATTTTTTCATGTCATAAAAGAGCTATAAACCTAATTTTGAACAGGCTGGGGGGGTGGACTAGTTGATCTTTAAGGTCCCTTCCAGCCCAAACCATTCTTTGCTTATATGACTCTAAGTGACAGGCATCGGTAGGTATTTGCAATGTCAAGGGCAGCTGCACCCTCCTAAGATTAGTTCCAGGCACTGGCACTGTACTGGCCATAGTGCTCAGTTTTTAGTGTGATCTACTGGCAAACACTGAGGAATTTATGAGGTACAGCATGCGCGTGCTAATATGACTTCATCACACTCATGGCCAGTGTGAGGAGAGGCTGGCATCTCTTAGTGATGGCCAGCACCATTACCAAGGGATTAGCTGTCACCAAGGAATAAACAGTTTTATTTTCCCCTTTCTACTAAACATGAAAATAATCTGAAAGCTTCTTTACCTCCTCTTCTCCCCAAATGGCTTTTCTCTTCCTGCTGCACACTGAGCTTTGCTGGCCCACACCAGCTGGTGTGCCTAGGGTAGGTGAGGCTGGCTTGGACACCTGAGGCTTGGACCATGCTTGGCTTCAACATTACAACTAAGATATTGCCCACTCCCACTTTGCCTTACTGATCACATCTGTCTTGCATGCTGTTTTATCATTGCAGTCCACTTCCTTCTTACAGTTGGAGTTGCTGAGCTGTGACGTGCAGCTGTAACACTTCAAAGAAGAACCTGCAAGAGACCAGGAGGGGTTATAAGACATATCCATCTGAAACTCTCCAGGGAACCCAACTTAGTGCTTGTGTTGGGAAACAGACCCTTTCCTGTGGGTCCTCAAAGGAAGACAGCACCTCTGTTTTGGGGGAAACAATGGTTTTTTTCCATTTTTGGTGGAGAATAGTACATTCACTTGAGGTGAGAGTCAAGTTTTGCAGGTGTAGAAGTTGTTTCAGTTGTAGTCAATGCAGTGAGAGAGCAAAAACAGACCAGCTAGATAGCTAGATTGCTGGTCTCATTGACCGGTCTCATCGGTCAATGGGAAGTGCTTCCCAAATGTTTCTTCCTGTGCATTTGGAATACCTATCTCAGTTCCCTTTTGAAACAGGCTTTTTGTGATATTCCCACCTCCTGAGCTGGGATGAAAGGGTGAAATCCCCAGAACAGGTTGATATTATTTGTCTGCCTCTGTAGACATCAGTTTTTTACCAAGTGGGCTTGTGGGCCTAACCTGAGGCATTGCCAGGATTGGATAGCAGAAGGAAAGCCCAGAAGGAAAAGAGGGTGAGGGAGGGATGGAGTGGGCAATTTGCAAGGTCTCTTCCAGATTGCTGGCTCAGTTTGACCAACTTGTGACATGTATTCTCCATCACCCCCCTCTTAGAAAACAAAGCTCAAATGTGGTTTTCTCCTCCTTCTGAAAACCAGGTCACCAGGTGGTTCCACTCTCCCATGGACATGTCACTCTATGGGGGACACAGGCCAGTGTCTCTAACATCTGCTGTGCTCTTATGCGCATCAAGCAAAGGTAGAATAAACATTGCAGCTTACAAGTGTCCAGTCCTGAGCAAAAATAGTCCCCGGAGGACTGAGAGCATGGTGCAATTACCTGTTCCTATTACCTACCCATGCCCCAGGGTGTCACTGGATCCCTGCAAGTGTAAGAGTTAATGTATATATATGTACTTTAACCTCATGATCACCAGACTTGTATCATGACTCCATCAAGTCAACACTTTAATGCCTAAAATACTGTAAAATACACAAAAAAGCTGTATTTATGAGCTAGTGTTATTCAGCACGGGAGCAAAAAGTGATTTGAGGTAGTTCATCTCCCTCTATTCGAGCCATTCTGGTATAAATGACTGATGCAGTCATAGATGCAGGCAGCCAAATCCCAGTTTGTTTGTAGTGCTGCACTCTGCTCTCACATTTATCTGACTTCTAATGCAAAGAAAATAAAAATTCAGAGCACTCTAATAGAAGCTGGCAGAGGAGAAAGTCTGGCCAGGACAGTACAAGATCCTTCTCAGCCTACATCTTAAGTAGCCTTTGCTGACTGAGAAACATTTCTACTCGGATCTGCTTTCTAGGTTCTCTGGTAATAGGGAAAAGCTGGTTTAAAACTGTTTTTCCCATTGAGGCTAGAAAAATCTGACCGTGTCTAAATCCCACCCATCCAGTTTATATAATAACACTCATAAAATAATGTCATTCTCACTTCTTCTGTCCCATTAAAATCCTGACAATCTGTGCAGTGTCAGAGGCCACTTTTGAAAGGAAGAGTCAGAAAACAAGCTGGAACAAAGCTTACCTTTGCAGAGATGTTGCAATTTTGATAGCCTGGGAAGAAGATAAATAATCCTTCCACTCAACTTAACACACCCTCCCACCCCCCCCCCCCCCACCATAAC